CATTTATATGGTTTCTCCCCTGTGTGAGTTCTTTGATGTGACCTAAGGTTACCACTTTGACTGAAGCTCTTTCCACATTCCATGCATTGATATGGTTTCTCCCCTGTATGGGTTCTTTGATGTGAAGTCAGCATACTCCTTTGGCTGAAGCTCTTTCCACACGGGAGGCATTTATACTGCTTCACCTCTCTGAATGGTTCTTCGCCTGACAAATTATTGGTCATATTCATGGTCTTTATATGCTCCATTCATTGATTTAATTTTTCTTTTGGGTAGACCTAGCCATATCTATTGATATCAGAAGTTCATTTGAATGCTTTTCTGCCCGTGATGCACCTTCTCCTCCCAGTTCCTTGACTTTTTTCCGAATCATCTGGAGTTTGTAAAAATTAGCACTCTTTGAAATTTTTAGATGTACTCTTCCGTTTCATTGGTCGCCTTCCATTCTGTCTTTCTGTCTCCTTTTCGGTGTCTGTGTTCTTTTCCTGCTTCACACTTGGTTCTTGTCCCTGTCCAAGTAGCTGAACAAACAGAATTCTGGTTGTCCTGAAGAAAAAGATGAAAATAGCACAGAACAAATTAAGAACATGCAGAAATGGTTCAGCTATTCTGAATACAGTAATAGAACCACGGAATAATTTAGTTGGAAAGGGCCTATAGAGCAGTACAACAGTGGAACCATTTACTTCGTGAGTTGCTGAGTGCTCCAACACTGGAGGCATTCAAGAAAAACTTGGATCATCACCTGACAGATATGGTTTCATTGTATTCCTCCGTTGAGCAGGGGGTTGGACATGATGGCCTTTTAGGCCCCTTCCAACTTCACTTTTCCATGATTCTGTGATTCTATAGGAGCATTTATATCCCCTCTCCAGGAATCACAATTAACATATATCAGCAGTATGGCTGTCTTGATTTTCACCTTTCCAAGATAGTGATTTCATGATAAGACAGCTGTATTGCTTAAGAGTTTTTTCCTAATATTCAATAACAACCAAAGTTTCTCTAATATGTTTCATGCATTTTGGGAATGATTAAGAACTGATCCAGTCCTTCCTCTTTCAAGACTGCCTTTCAAGTACAGTGGTACTTCGCAATACGACAACCCCGCTAAATGACGAATCCGCATAACAATGACTTTTGCTATCATTATAGCGATTCGCAAAATAGCTATTCCAATCGGGGATTTTTGCTGGACGTCGATTAGTTCCGTGCTTCGCAAACTGTTCACAAGACGATGATTTTTACGGCTTTGCAAAATGGCTGCCCTGTGTTTTCCAGACCCATGCTCCGCAGGGCAGCCACTTTTACAGCTGATCGGCGGTCGCAAAATGACTTCCCTATGGGTGATCTTCGCTGGACAATGAGGTATTTTTCCCATTCGAATGCATTAAATGGGTTTCAATGCATTCCAATAGGGGAAACTGTTTTCGCTAGTCGATATTTTCGCATAACAGCGATTTCAGGGGAAAGAATTATCGTTGTTGTGCGGGGCACCACTGTATCTGAAAACTGCTATCAGATCTCTCCTCAGTCTTCTTTACTCAAGGCTAAACATGCCCAGTTCTTGCAATCTCCTCATAGGGCTTGGTTTCCAGTCCCCTAATCATCCTTCTTTTGTTTCTCTGAACCTCTTCTAGTTTGTCAGCAACCTTTCAAAAGATGAAGCCTAGCTTGGAGAGGAGTTTCGGATTTCAATGTCATCACTATGCGGACGATACTGAACTCTGAACATTAACACTGACCATCAGTGGACTGGATGAGCCCAAATAAACTGCAAACGAATCCATCCAAGACACAGGCATTGTCAGTCAGCCGAAAGGCAGATGAAAGAATGGAGATGTCTGAGCTGGCCATAGTCTCACATTACTTAGTTACTTCCTGACTCAATGACTGTAACATGCGCTACATGAGGTTATCTAATCTCCCATTGTGAATCCATTTGGGTATTAAGATCATCACGAGAGACCTTTCTCATGGTCCCTTTCTCACAGCCACATCTCACTACTGGCTCTGAATCACAACAATTCCAATGTCATTCTCTCTTTTAGTATTATGGAGCCAATTAATCCTTATGTTCTAACTGGTTTCAACACCTAGGGGTAAGAATTTGCACTTATCCTAATCTGTTGTTCTCAGCCCCGGACTGAAATTTATCAAGATCATCTGAATTTTGTTTCTGTCTTCCATTATGTTAGCTATTCTATCCAATTTTGTGTCATTTGCAAATCTAAAAAGTATGGCTGCATTCCCTCATCCAACTCATAACAGGGCACCGGGCTCACCACTGAGACTTGTGGTTACCTCACTTGTTATCTCTCCCCTGTTTGAGAAGTGTTGGGATATGGTTCTGCTAAGAACAGAGAGCTTAAGTCTATGTATCTCTCCATATATCTATGTACTATAAGGGTGTATAAGTTAAGCCCAGTAGAAATCTTACAGGATGAAGAAATGCTGTAGTGTTTACATGTAATGCTTAGGAGTTGTACTATAGGCAGAAATTTGCCGCAGAGGCATTTTTATGGAGGTAATAAATAAGCTCTGGCGGGATGCTGGAGGAGGCAGAGAGATAAGGAGAGCAAGAGACGGGGAGAAGCAGAGAGCTCACTTCTTTCCAGCATGCAGACAGAGCTACAGAGAAAGTTTTTCTTGTGTCCATGAGTGATTACTTTACAACACCACTGAATTTACCAAACTGGACTCCCTATAGAGAAGGAGCCATTGATAAACACCCTCAGAGTATGATTTTGCTGAAATCAAGATATATTACTGTGGCAACCCCAGACCTACTGGAGTATCCCACCCTGTAGTTATGCTGCCACCAACCATTCCCTATAAGGAGTCACACAGACCAGGAATGGATTTTAATAAACAAAAGAACAAGGTTTATTGAAACAACAAACAGGGTAAATAAAAGGATCAGGTAAATAGGATACTGGAACGTGGTATAGTCCCAATCATACACATACAACAGATTGGTTCCCACGGAACACTTTAAGGTAACGCACAGACCCTGAACCTATCAGTTCTGGCTGCCTAGATACAAACCTGAACCTATCAGGTATGTACTATCTGACGAACAGTTGTAC